CAACCTTTTTTTTTTTTCTTTTCTGGGTTAAAAAATAAATAAAAGGGGTGGGAGAGACATAGTAGTGTTGAATAATTAATTTTCGGCAGCATTCATGAAATAGCTTGTAATTGAATAGCAGGATAAATAATGATTTCGCCGTGGGACCGGTGGTACTCGACGAGCTGCTGCCTGTGCTGCCATGTACGGACGGGCACCATTATTCTGGGAATATGGTACATGGTAAGTTGGGTGTTTTTTTTTATTCGTAAATGTGGTTAAATGTGTGGGATAATCGGTGGTTAATGTCAAGTGTTTACAGCAGTTGCTAAATTAGCTGGCGACTGTTGTTTTTCTGCTCTCATCTTTGATGTTAAAAGACTCGGTTTAAAAGACATTTAAACTGTGTTAGCTGAATTAATCGACACCATTTTCAGTCAAAGGTGTTTTTTTTGTGGGTTTGCAAATACATTATAATCAATATATTGACAAATATATCTGCTACAGTTTGCTCGCGTTAACACTTTTGTTGTTGTGCTGAAACGATAACATTACCGTCCTCTTTTGTCCTACATTTGTACCGGTTAAATATAGAGGCTGCTTCTGTTTTTACCCACGGGATAACCTGAAGTTTTAAACATAGTCCAGTAAGCCTTGTAAATCCCTGACCTTTTAGTAAGCGTAAGTCTTCCCTCTCTGTTTGACCCTATTAATGTCGTCAAATCGAGCCAAAGGCCAGAAAAAGCAGCCACTTAATGTGACCTCCATAAGGTGAACACATATAGGACTGTAGGGATGTGTAGATCACGCTGGTTGGACAGGTGCTGTGCTGAAGCAATTGATCAGGTGTTTGCATTTTGACAATCAAGTAATCATTAACTCACACAGCGTCTCAAATGTGACGATTTGTTCCTTTTTTCATTTATTTATTTTGAATTATTCTCATTGTTATATGCCTTTGGGTTTTTTTTGGACTGTTAGTTGAACGAAATGAGCAATTTGAAGATGTGTCCTTGTGGACTGATGAACCTGTGATGGTGTTTCTGACTGGCAGTTCATAGATTTTTTATTTTGTAAAGTCATTTTAAAAATATAATAGTAAACTGTGGGCCTGATCAACATTTCATGAAGCCTCATTAAAGGGTTTTGTCCAGTGGATCCACACACACTCAGCAGATGGCCTCTGTCATATCTTTTAAGCGTAACTAAATAAAATCTATCTAATAATACTTATTATTATACTTAATTATCCTTTACCTCACCTGTAATTACTTTCCCCTTTAAATTACGCCACAAAAAGATCCCTGTTCCTTCTGAAGATTAATATTACTATTGATCTTCATTTCCCCCGCAGCTCATCAACGCCGTGGTCCTACTCATCTTGTTGTCGGCTCTCAATGACCCAATTCAATACCGCTACCACCTTACCAGCTCCGAGCTGGGAACCGACATTGATGTCATGGACGATGCAAGTGAGTGCAACTAATCCTCTCATTGTTACATGTCTGACTTGGTGCATATTGGATTAGATGTCGTCAATGAGGCGTCGCTTATTATTCTACAGAGAGCTGCAGCTTCAAGGCTGAAGATGTTAGATGCAAGAATGATGTTAGTGTAAGGTCTAGTGTAGAAGATGGATGTACAGAACAGTTTCTTTACAAGCTCATCGTCAAATCTTGTTGTTAATAATCCACCATTTCTTTGAATATAATTCAGTTATTCAACATGTAATAGGTTTTGTCAGCCATACAGCACATTTAGCTTTATTTGAACAGAATAATTAAACATAGTGAATCGATAACATTGAAGCTATATCAAAATATTACAAGTAAATACTCAGATATTAGTAATTTTTACGGCTCGGTCACATTATTGTTTGCTTTGTGAGTGCCAACAGCGTGTGCGTGTAGCCCCGTGGGTCTCTGCAGCTCTAAAATCACCTCTCCTTTCTGCCCGCCACTTCATTTCCCAGAATGCTGCTCTCAGCACAGACACAGCTGAGTCGGCTCAGCTCCATAGAGAACAAATCAGAGTGCGTGTGTATTTTCAGTGTTTCCCCCTCCAGCAGCTATCATCATCACAGCCGCCTCCGGAGCGCCGCAGACGCTGTCACTGGCTACTCTGATTAAAAACGACTGCTCTGATTTTCCATCGGATTAGAACGGCCATCTTGACTGACTCCCCCTCACACAGCGTTGTTGCTCGCGGCCGCGTCAGTCAGAGATTGTGAAACGTGGGGAGGGACGGAGATAAGCTGGTGTTATGGTTTTCTAATGGGCAGCTGTCAATAGATTCAGTCACTGTGGTTATATGCAGAGAAATCATGAAAATCACGTGTGTGGATGACGTGTGTGTGTAGCAAGGGATTAAGATGCAAGGGTATCATCATTCCCTGGGTCTTAACACAGTATCCGTACTGTATTAATCACTGAGTGTAAGGGCACGCTGACAGCCATGATAATGTACAAAAGTTGCATTTTGTAGAGTCATGTAAAATTGTTGTTTTCATGCTAACAATGCTGACTACTACTACTAGTAAGGATGCATTGACTCCTTTGTTTCACAGCCAGTACTCTTTCTGAATACCAAGGTCAATAACTGCCAGCACTGCACAGTGATCTGGGATCCCTTTCACCAAACAGCACACGTGCAGATATCCTGCCTTAACTTGCTGTCAGCGGATCTCTGTTAGTTACTGCGCTAAAGCGACACTGACGACAATTGTCTCATCGGTCCGTTTTCACAGCTGCATCAGAATGCGAGAGGAGTGCTGCGTTTAGTCAAATTTAGCATCTCTTGCATAACAATTACCCACGTGCCGATCAGGTTTTGTCCAAGGCAGATTTGGGGGCTAAAAATAGCGAGGTTGCTTTGTTTTGTAGACTTCAGGATTACGTCAGTGAAATTACCTGTTTGCTGTTGTTCTCCCCCGGTAATCTAGATGATCTGTTCTCACGTTGTTCTGTTTCTTTCCGCAGATATCTGCATCGCCACCGCGATATCCCTACTCATGATTCTTATATGTGGCATGGCAACATATGGTGCTTACAAGGTAAATGAACAACCGGATACAAGTGGGATTCAAACAGGCGTCTGAACATGAAATAATAACCTTTGTTCTTTCTGAGTTTCTTCATCTGTTGTCAATCTCTCCCACATAGCAACACGCAGCTTGGATCATTCCATTCTTCTGCTACCAAATCTTCGACTTTGCCCTTAACACACTGGTAGCCATTAGTGTGGTGGTTTATCCCAACACGGTGCAGGACTACCTCCAGCAGCTGGTGAGAACCATTTCCCTCCAACCCAAACGCCAACTTCTTTCTAAACCGCTTCTTTTTGTTCCTACAGTCAAAATCATGAATAGCTCAGTGCTTTTGAAACTAAGTTTGTGATAACTGCTTAATAACAAGACGGATTCAGGGGTTGGTGCGTCATCTGTTGAGTAACAGCACTAAAGAAGAGGCATTCAGTGAAACCAGGTCACTCAGTCATAGTACAGGCCTTAGTTATGTAGATTAGGGGCCCATTTTAGACTCCTCCGCTGCTTTGTAAAATGACACTTTCCTACCTTTCATTTCTCTCCATTGATTTTTGTTTCACTCTTTTCAACCTCTCTCCTTCCTTTCCAGCCGGGGACATTCCCTTACAAAGAGGACATCATGTCCACCAACAACATGTGCCTAGTTTTTGCAGTCCTCCTTTTCATTGGATGCATCCTCTCCTTCAAGGTAAGCCCCGCAGAGTCTCTGGATCACTGCAGATCCCCCCGTCATCCATTTCAATGACACTAAAAACTGTACAGATGCATAAAAAAATGCTTCTAAAGTATTGAATTGAATTAAAATGTCTTT